CATCGTATATTTTAGACCCGCTCACTCTGTATCTTCCGGTCCTCTTAGCTCTTCCACAGGCTTTATTGAAAAGGGTGATCGTGCCTTTTCAGTTGTGGCCCCAAGACAAGTGCAATAAACTTCCCATTTTCATTACATCATCCCCAACCACTGAGATTTTAAAGTTTCGTCTTAAAATGCATATATACTCTTTGGCATTCAAGTCAGTGTAGGGACAGTTATGCTATTCTGTCCTGGTTGCTTCATATTTCTATTTATTGCTGTATGTGTCTTTGCTTTTTATCTGATTGGTCTGCTTCTTTATTTCTTGTTGTTCTAACTGCATTACTTTGTACAGCACTTTGTTGTTTTTAAATGTGCTTTAGTGTCCAGCTTTCCTGACATCTTGACCCGTACTACAGACAAGATATCTCGACCTATGCTGTTTTGATTCTGACCACTGTTCAGTTAATGAGACTGGTGGATAATCGTACGTTGCACAGAGAGCCGTGGACTTATGGGGCATCGGTAGCTTCATCCTCCAGACCTTCACCTCGAGTTCAGACTTCTCTGTGACGGACAGGTAACAGGTGAGAATGTGTTAACTGTGTCGGTGAGAGGGAGAGCTGAAAAATAACATTTGTATTCAGCAAACCTCCAAAAGTGTATTGTCATGAATTATTTTTATGTATTAGTTTTATTCTCGCAAACTTTTCACTTTGTTAGCAGCCTCCGGGCTTCTTTCAATGGATTATTATTATAAAGGCTATTTTCTTACCTTAAAAGGCGATTTTAGCAGCCTCAGGAAAAGTCTGCCTGTGTGTGTGTGTCAGGGCAGCCTATAATGAAATCAGTACTCAGCATAGAGTATTTCAGCCAATGAAAGCACGGATCAATAAAACACAAGCTTTGGGCACAGAGCCAGCTCTCACCACATTTATCTTTCAGCCTTCCTTCTTTCCCTCTCTCTCATTCTGTCTCGTTTATTTTAGCGTCACCCGTCTTTTAGATTGCCACCAATCTTCATTCGTAAAGTGTCACATCAGCTGCAGTGGACGTTGAATTGAGTAAGTTAAAGTGGTTACAACATGTTTTTGCGATGTTCCATATGTCTACCAGCTCTGATCACTTCAGCCAAATGAGCAGTTTTTTCTCTTGTTTAATTTGATTAATTTAAAGTAAAACACTCCAGTAATTCGGAAGGAAAAAGCAAAGATTAAAGTCTGAAAGTCTGAAAAAGTAAATTTAATCTTGTGTTGCAGAAATGTTTTCTTTGCTTTCATCTCTAATCATTTCGTGACCCCCCTCAGCAAATGCAAATTTTCAATTAGGATAAAACTTCCAGAAGCCCCAACTCCACCCATTATTGCTCCATAGAAGCTCTGTGATAATGATTATTTTCTTTATTGACCATAAAGTAGAGAGAAATGTCGATCACTTTTTTCCCAGAGCCTAAAGTCACGTCTTTAAATTAAGTTTAAAGACGAAGCCTGACCAACCAAAGATATTAAATTTGCAGAGAAAACAGAGAAAGGATCTGGAATGATTGATATTCTTGTTGATTGACTAATCAATTAATCAGTTAGTTATTTTAGCGCTGCTCAATTTCTCAGTGACCGTCTCTCTCTATCATTCATCTATCTGTAATCTGTAAATGTATTCATCTATCATTGAAACCTCTGAGACAGACAGACAGGGGAAAATGAATCATCAGCAGTTTTACAGAATAAACTTTATGTTAAATAAAACTGAAACACAGAGAGAGAGAGAAAGAGAGAAACAGAGGCAGTCTTGCTGGATATTACAGATTTTATTGACTCATCCTCTGCAGCTCAATAAAGAAACAGCTCATCTCGTCTCCATCTTTCTGTCTTTCCGCCTCGCACACCAGTTAACTTTATCGCACATTATCACAGTGTCCTTACTCATGACACCATCCATCCACTTTGCTTGCTAATTGAAAGAAAAGGAGCGTAAGCAGAAATACGACTCGGTGCTGGAGACCACATGCGCCGCTACAGTCTTTTAACCTGCAGGAAAAGTTGGTTTCAAACAGTCAAATGTGTCTATAAATGCCAAATACTTCTCAAATAGTTTTGAAATGAGTTTTGAACGCTTGGTCTGACAAAAGCCATTTCAAGACGACACGCAGGGCATTTTTCACTACTTCCTGACATTCCATAGACTAAATTAATTGATCGGTTAATTTTAAAACTTAACACGTCTTACAAAAGCAGCTTGTCTAAAGCAGCCCTAGTCAACTGGCGGCCCGAAGCAACCTCCACGTGACCCAGCACATAATCTAATATATTGACAACAAAAGTATACTACATATAGATATGGCAGTAGCTAAAGAGTGAGCTGTATCGATTCTCCTGTTGCTGCTCTAGAAACAACATTTAGCTAATAAAAATAGTACATTCTTTTTTAGGCAAAGTATTTAGTAATAATAAATAATTTAGCCCGTCTCCACGTGCTGGTTTTAAAATCAGGCCCAACAGAATTAGAAATTTGGTCTAAAGCATACTGAACCCTTTAGCTGCTGCCTTTGGTGATGCAGTTTGATTTGAAAACTCTGCACAATGGTCTGCACAATGTTTACACAACTGTCTACAACACGTGAAATCCTCTGGCATGGTCCTTTAATTCTTCACATGTTGATTTCGATAACGCAGTGTGTATATGTAGGGCTGCAACTAACGATGATTTTCATTGTCGACGAATTGGTCGAATAATTTCTCAATTAATTGATTAGTTGTTTAGTCTTTGTCAGAACCGTTACATATGTTAGGGTTAGGGGGTTAGGTTGATGGAAACGGCAACATTCTCTGAAAAAAATCCTTAATTTCGAAAAAAAAAAAAGAGTAAATGCGCTAAATGGGAGATGGAAACAGTTTTTACAAATAAGTTCTGACGCAGCGAACTTGTAACTCGCGTCTGATCAGCTGTTTCTGCTGTCTTGCCCAGTTGTGCACAGTTCTGCACGCCTGCTGAGAATTTCCTGCCGCTCATTTGTGCTGAGAAAAGAGGCGGATGCAGATCTGGGCAGGTAGCCTTCATCATCCGTTCTGCTGAATTATGCATTCACCTCTTAAAGGTCCTTCTCAGATCCTTTGCTCTGCACGCTGGTCAAACGCGGTTATCACCGCATATTTTAGCTGCATCTCACTGAAAGCTGCTTCTACTGAGTGTAATAAAGAATTACTGACTCTAAACGTTCATAAAATACATACTTGGAATCATTTATCACCATTGATGAACCCTACAAAGGATATTATAGCGTTTAAAAGCAGTATTTGGAGGTGCATGCAATTCTCTGCACGTGCGGAGACATGGCTGGTAGCAGTTTGCCCGCGTCAGACACATTCCTGAGGACCTCTCTCCATTTTCTCCAGTTTCTGGTTTGGAACCCAGACGTCTTGTTTATTGCAGCCATGTGTAACGTCAACTACTGACGTAACTACGCTCGCCGCAGCCTGGTTTATTCACTCCGAACCAGCAGATGGAAACGCACATATTTCTTTTGTTTTTTTCTTTTTAGCGACATTTCAAAAGTCCGCTTAAAATTCGCATGACAATTGGATGGAAACACGGCCAATGTTTCCCAAAGCCCAAGAAGACGTCCTTGGCATAGCGAAGAAATTAAACCAGAAAATATTCACATTTAAGAAGCTGGAATTAAAAAATTTAAAAAATTCTTAAAAATTTACTCAAACCAATTAATCGATTATCATAATAGCTGGCGATTAATTTAATAGTAGACAACTAATTTTTAATTATTTGATATTAATTCTTCTAAATTATTATTGATCACAGATGTTATTAACTCTCACTTTATGTATTGCAGTCAGTGTTCAGAAAAGTAGTGTGTTAAGTGAATTCTGATCATTTTAATTTAATCATACATATAAGAAGGTGAGAGAAAGGTCACGACCTTTGAAAGTTACAAGATAAATTAAGTGCTGTAGAGCAAGATCAATATGAGGAATATTTGTTCATGCATGTCATCTTCATTTTCCCTCGAGAGACGTCTGAATAAGCCCCCCGGGGTTCCTGCCTGGACCACACTGTTTGAGTTTCTCCTCTAATGTTTACTATAAATTATTTTGTGCAAACACATTCTCCTGTAAAAATATGGTTCACAATGTGCTTCTTGATCCGGATGAAAAAGATTTAGAGCAACACTACACATGCAAAAAAGAAGTGTCTGAGTTGATCTTACCTGACAGTAAAGTCGTACGAGCAGGACGCCAACAACGTTTTACTGAACGGAGAAAACTGCAGGAGGAAGAAAGAAAGATTAGAATTAGGAAAAAGCTAAAATTATTATTTTTTAAATTGTTTCTTAGAGTCAACAATATGAGGGTCACTTGTTTGTGTGTCATTCATTTTTCATTTTCAATAATGCAGCAGAGGAAGTATTCAGATCCTGAACTCAAGTGAAAGTAGAAATACTGCAATATACTGTAAAAATAATCCAACACACAACCAATTCTTTTATTGCACATGTAAATACTTAATGATCTTTATATTTATATAGGTTGTGCAAGTCGCCAAAACACATTCCTTGTATGTGCAGTGGTGATGGTACAGTGGATAAGACACATGCCTTTGCTGTTAGAGACCTGGGTTCAATCCCCCACTGTGACCCATCCACCAATGTGTCCCTAAGCAAGACATTTAACCCCTCGTTGCTCCAGAGCGTGCGACCTCTGACATATATAGCAATAGTAAGTCACTTTGGATAAAAGCGTCAGCTAAATGAACTAATGTAAAAACAACTTGGCAATAAATCTGACTCAAGTAGCCTACTAAAAAATTTGTACTTTAATACAGCACGTGAGTAAATGTATTTGGTCTGTCAACCAATAGAGAAGCTGCTGTGCTGAACTATGTGTTTCAATTCCTTAATTTCACCAGGCTGATCCACTCAGCATCAACACTGCTTTCCAGGAAGTCCTGTGCACATGTATTAAAGCATAGTGTTATTGCATATTCATATTAATATGAATCGAGACTTCCCTAAAGCAACAAAAACTGATTATAAGATATGAAGGAGGGATTTAAAGCAGAGCAGCTACAGTCTTCGCTAAGCTAACCTGCCTGTTTCTATAGCTAATGGTGACATCTTTGACTTCTGGTCCAATTCTGCTTCAGACTCGACTTTGCACTTGCTTTTCATGAGATAATACTGAATGTTTGTAATTTACATTTTCACCAAACATTAACAAAACTTCTGTCCTTATTACGTGAGGAACAATTTACACAGAGCATCATGAATAGGACACTGTGACCTGTTTAGAAAAAAAATCCAGGGATGTTCACACAAAAAAACATCCCACTTAAAGAGTTTTCTGTTGAGCTGCTATTTAAGGGCATTTTCCCATGTTTTTCTGTCTGGGTTTGAAATTAGTCCAGTATTGATCGTAAAATAAAATACATACTTGGAATCATTTATCACCATTGATGAACCCTACAAAGGATATTATAGCGTTTAAAAGCAGTATTTGGAGGTGCATGCAATTCTCTGCACGTGCGGAGACATGGCTGGTAGCAGTTTGCCCGCGTCAGACACATTCCTGAGGACCTCTCTCCATTTTCTCCAGTTTCTGGTTTGGAACCCAGACGTCTTGTTTATTGCAGCCATGTGTAACGTCAACTACTGACGTAACTACGCTCGCCGCAGCCTGGTTTATTCACTCCGAACCAGCAGATGGAAACGCACATATTTCTTTTGTTTTTTTCTTTTTAGCGACATTTCAAAAGTCCGCTTAAAATTCGCATGACAATTGGATGGAAACACGGCCAATGTTTCCCAAAGCCCAAGAAGACGTCCTTGGCATAGCGAAGAAATTAAACCAGAAAATATTCACATTTAAGAAGCTGGAATTAAAAAATTTAAAAAATTCTTAAAAATTTACTCAAACCAATTAATCGATTATCATAATAGCTGGCGATTAATTTAATAGTAGACAACTAATTTTTAATTATTTGATATTAATTCTTCTAAATTATTATTGATCACAGATTGTTATTAACTCTCACTTTATGTATTGCAGTCAGTGTTCAGAAAAGTAGTGTGTTAAGTGAATTCTGATCATTTTTTTAATCATACATTAAGAAGGTGAGAGAAAGGTCACGACCTTTGAAAGTTACAAGATAAATTAAGTGCTGTAGAGCAAGATCAATATGAGGAATATTTGTTCATGCATGTCATCTTCATTTTCCCTCGAGAGACGTCTGAATAAGCCCCCCGGGGTTCCTGCCTGGACCACACTGTTTGAGTTTCTCCTCTAATGTTTACTATAAATTATTTTGTGCAAACACATTCTCCTGTAAAATATGGTTCACAATGTGCTTCTTGATCCGGATGAAAAGAGCACGCTGCAGTTGGCAGCAGTGAAAAAGGGCTACCACGTCATGCTTGCGGGCAAAGTACCTCCACTAAAGCGCTTGTTTTTTTGCGGCTGACAGGCTCAGATTGTTATAATAACTGTCTGATAACATAATGGAAAGGGTCGCTGCAGAGAGGGACCTTTTTTTAAAGAGTAAGATCCTTTTTGTTTAACCAGAAACCAGTCACTACATTGCTCTCGTCAAAGCCACCAGACTCCATTGATAAAAACTGTATTTTCCTGGTTGTTAACTTATGACCTCATAGAAACGGTCACATAACTCTTTAATAAACAGGTAAAAATTGTTCATGTCGAGCAAGCTATTCTTTCAAAATAAAATAACAAATAGATACTGCAGATAGATGCTTTATTTATCCCGAGGGAAATTCAAGTATCCAGTAGCATACGAAACATGCATACATTAAACATACCTTAAACCTATATTAAAATAAAACTAAAATTAACTTATAACACAGTAGCCACAGTAAACAGTGCAAATGGAAATAAAGACTTTACACAGTAAAGAGAGAAATTACAAAGCAGAAGGCCTGTGGCGTTGTTTACTGATTATTCTAGTGAATAAAGAAAACTAAATGTTTTGGCTGAGTAACACTTTCATGCGTTCGGAGCTTTTTTGCGGTTTCTTTTGGAGCTGGAGGTTTTCCCTCATCTTGTAAAAAAGGTGTGAATGTTCAAAAACGTGACGTGACAAAGAGCTTCAGGCAGGAGTTTTTTTGTGCTCAGCAGTTACAGGATTGTGCAGACAAAGAGAGACTGAAAAGAGTCCACAGAGAGTAATTTCACTGGCTGTCGGCTAAGCACTCTTAAAATTAATTTATTCGTTCATTTGTTCCCGCTCTCTGCTTTCTGACAGTTTCACCTCTCTTATCAGGCAGATTCACGCCAAGTCTCTGGCTCGTTTAACACCGTTCCACTCTGGTGCTGCCTCTTGTCTTCTCTTTCTATCCGTCTCTCAGTCAAACGTACAGCTGCTTTATGTATCATCAGCAAAAACCTTTTGTTACAGAAGCAAAAACAACAACTATAACACGAGTCTGAGCAGCTGTGGTGAACTAACTGCGTCTTTCTGTCAATGCCGTCTGTCTGACACTGGGAAAGTTCAACACTGACTTTATTTTTTAGTATTTTCCCTCTAATATATCGAGTTTATCTTTCTTTGGATCCCTGTCTGGCTTAACTTTAAACATTTAGATTTAAGCTAGGTGTAACTAATAAACTAAATGTTTGTTTTTACTGTAAGCACTTTGTAACTTGGTTTTGAAAAGTGCTTTACAAATAAAGTTATTAAATCGAATATGTATTTCTTTAAAGGTAAAATCCCATTTTTTATTTTTTTGTCCATCATTTCTAGGTTGCAGCTTCAGCACGGTTATTTGTTGAGCAGCCACATGAGCAGTCTGACAATCTATCCCTCCAGTTTATCCAAATTATTAGCAAGCAGGGACCCCCAGGGGTCCTTGAGGAGGTTCCAGTGGGTCCCCAGCAAACGGGGAAAGTTTTATTTTCACTATAATTCCATCTAAATGTAACACAGTGACCAAACATATGACCAATTTGGTCTTGCGTTTCTTACACTTTCTGTAATAAAGCATATAAAAAAAGCTAAATCTTATCAACTGGAGGTCCGTGGTCTAATTTGTGTCAGTTTAGGGTCCGTGACAAGACACAGATTGAGAACCACTGATCTAAACCACTCTGTCTGGAGAGGAAACGTCGGTACACAGGTTGCACTGGAACACTTTGTGCACAGTGCAGCAGATCAAAGTTGTAAACTGTGGTGTGACAATTTGAGTAATAATTGACCAAAACTACTAAAATAAAAACCAGGTTACAAAAGCCTTTTGACAAATTTCTTTAAAACTATCTTAAAATTGACTCGGCAGTAGGGACGGAAAGTCAGCTTATTTCTTCTTCTTCCGCTGATCATGAATCCGTTCACCTCCTCTCTGCTCCGTCCGGTAAATCGATACGGGCAGACAGATCGGCAGACACTAACAAAACACACACAGAGTGACAGCTGCCCGGGAAAACACAGCTCGAGCAAGACAGTTCCTCGATCTTGATTGTGTGTGTGGCAGCGTGGGGGTTGTGTGTGGGCACGTCTGTAATCGTGCGTATTCGTGACGTCTGTGTGTGCGTGAAGTGACGCGTTTCATCTGAGTAAGCGTGATGTGTCTGGGGACTCCTCTGCAGCTGTACACGCTCACAAGTCTAATGTGTGCGTGTGTGCGTGCGCGTGTGTGTGTGTGTGTGCGCGTGTGCATGTGGTCTTATTAGGTCCATTTAAGTGGGTGTTTTGATGCTGTCAGACAATGCACTGCATCTCTGCCAACACACACACATTTTGTGTTGTCACAATACATTTGGCGGCGTATGTGAAACCAGGTCGTGTGTGTGTGTGTGTGTGCGTACCTTAACTCTGCGGATGGCATAGGTGTGGCCTAGCAGTTGATTGACAGGCTGCCGGACATTCCTCATGTCCCACACACACACACTGCAGTCTACTGAGCCTGTGGCCACAATATTCTGCAGACAGAACACAATTAAATGTTTTACAACCAAAATAAAGCGTTTTAAACAGAAATAAATCAAGAATGCAGCTTGTTGAATGCATGTGGTGAACTAAAATAATCCAAATGCCTTTCAAACTCAAATAAACCTGTTGAAGCCAAAAGTTGCTGCATCAGGTGAGCAATTACCTGGTCATATTTGCACCAATCACAGCTAAGGATCTCAGCCTTGTGTGCAGGAATCGCCAATCGACACACGGCGCCCTTGACATCCCAAACTCTGAGCGTGCCGTCACCTAAAAAGTAGACAGAGACAGATGCGGCGGAGATTTACCCAGAATGCCCAGTGCAACCACAGCCTGCACAGGTGACCTCTGAGCAGCTGTGCTCGTCGGCACTTCAACTGCAAACAATGAGGTTGTGTGCAAAAAGTCTCAGTAGATATGGAGGTAACAGAAGTGAAAGAGAAAGGGAGAGTAAGACTGAGAGAAAGGATGAGGATGTGTCCATGCATGTATATTAATAATCCCTCAACCAAATCTGAAATAAAAACTTTTTTATTGATCGATATGGACTGTTAAAACACCCGATCTATTATCAATTCTATATTTATTCCAACCCATTGAACAACAAGCTCGCAAGCTGTCAAAAGCAGCTCGTTAAACCGTGTTAAAAAACTGAAACCACGTCCTAACACATGTTGTTATGAGCAACTGAACTCCGGAACAAGAAGAGACTACAGCCATAGTTGCTACCTGAGGATGTACACAGCAGTGCTTTCAGCTAAATGCTAATGTGAGCTAACGTGCTCACAATGACGGCCCAGAGCGGCAATAATAAGAGACGCTGTTCACCCTATTACAAGTCAGTGCATCATCAAAATGATTTTAAAACTGTATTTTAAGATTAAAAACTACATAATGTTGCTTTAAAAGGAGATTACTGGCTCACAAAACACTTGATTAAAAAGTAAAAGTAAAGTGGTAATGTCATTAGCTTTGCAGGAATTTGGTCATAAACCCTGGAGAAATTGAAATCAGGATATGATGGCGGTGCAATAAGGAAAGTAAAGGGATCAGCAAAGTGACTACAATTCAACCTGAAACAAATATAATGAGAATCCATTCAATAATCATTGACATTTTTCACTCCACAGATGTGAACCTGCAGGCGGCGATGGGAGGACATTCAGGAATCACCAACATCAGTGAGCTTCATCCTTTAGGGAACATAAAAGTCTGAACCAAACTTCATGAAAATCCATCCAATTGTTGTTGCAATATTTCAGCCTGAATTGTGGTAAACCACCGAGTGACCAGGATTGCCATCCCTACAGCCACGCCGCTAGCTTCTGTAGCGTGTAGCAAGCTGCTGCTGATGCAAAACGAAGAGATGGAAACAACACACAAAATACTGTAGGACGTGCACTGAAAGGGTAAAGCTTTCATACACAGGCAAATTTGTAATGCATATTGTATTGTAAATAGCTTCATGTAATATTATTTAATATTTGTTAAATATTAATATCAAATTCTGCACCAAGCTGTAAAGTGTGATTCATTTAGTTATGGAGATAGAAAGAGAAAGATAGGGCGAGCATGATAGACCAGTGGTTCTTAACCTGGGGGTCGGGACCCGGTCCCATCGGGGTGTGCGAGAATGCTACTATAGACTCAAAAATAGAAAAAGAATAAGTTAAAAATAACTAGACGGACTATAGATGTGAATGGAATCACTTGTAAATATTTTGCACTGTTTCATCCAGTAGGTGGCAGTAATGCCAACCGCTATAAAACGCCACAGAAGAATAAGAATTTAAACTGGAACTGTAAGCGGTTCTAAGTGGGGTCCAAGCCCCCCAGAGCCAGCCGCCCCCCTTGCCCCGCAGAGGCCACGCGAGTCGGCCCGTGGTGAATAAATGACCAGAGTTTGAAAATAAAGAGACTTGCGGTTACGGAGATTTATGTACGATTAATAGCGCCAGCTAGAGACCGATTGATTTCACACAGCCCCTTGGGAGGGCGTGCCAGATAAGGTCCCCAAGTTTGGTTTAGATCGGCCATTGCAAACCTAAGATATGACATCACTTCCTGTTTTTAGCATTTTTCGCAAACATTTGTTAGCTTATAATTGGGACATTTTGTGGCAGATCAAAATTTCTTCTACAAACTTTTATCAGCTTGGTCCAGAGACAGCCCCAAATTTGGTGTCAAGCAGACTTGAAATGAATGTAATGATTTTTAAAAACGTCTTTAATCTGCAAAAACAGCGCCACCTATGGGCATATTAGGGTCAACTTTGGTGCCTGGAGTCAAGAGAGCGTCCTGAACAATTTGGCTCAACTTTCATGTCAATCCGACTAACTAAGGGCGAGTGCCACTCAGCAAGCCATGTCACATAAGTTCCCCAAGTTTGGTGTTGATCGGCTATTCCTAACCTAAGATATGACATCACTTCCTGTTTTTTTGCATTTTTCACATTATTTGTTAGCTTAAATTGGGACATTATTTCGCGGATCATAATTTCCTCTACAAACTTTTATCAGCTTGGTCCAGAGATTGTCCGTGGCTAGTTTGGTGCCGGTTCTTGCCGGTTCAGAGGAATGAATTAAAATAGGTTTTTCAGTTTTCGCCATTTTGCAAGAAAAAAAAAAGTCTAGGCGAAAATGGGCGTGGCCTATACCATTTGATTCAGCTCGATCCCCCGAACGCGTGGATTTAAGATTTTTGATATGCGACCTCGTATGCGTGATGTGGATTTAAGGTTTTTGATATGCGACCTCGTATGCGTGATGTGGATTTAAGGTTTTTGATATGCGACCTCGTATGCGTGATTTCCAAGCCGCTGATTGCTGATTAAATATTTTTAACCTCAAAAAGGCGTTTCACAAAGGTTAAGAACACCTGAAACAACCAGAGAGGGAGAGAGTAGCAAAGATGAGTGGAGGCATGTGGAGAGAGTTTAATAGAGAGGAACACGGCTTCCTTCAGACGTTAAGGCTTTATTTCATTCTGCTGTGTGTGGGTGTGTTTCTGGGAAGAGGTTCTGCCAACACACTGCGACAATCAGCAGAACTTTTAAACTAAACCCTTCTCCTCCTCCCTGTTCCTCCTCCTCCTCATTCATTTCACAGCCAGCAGCTTCTGAGAGGTTAATTTATTTATTAGATGCCAAAGTCAGAGAGAACTAATGTGTGGGAAAACCTGCCGTCAAACAGCGCGTTATCATCCGTCTGTTTTTACGCAAATTTTCAAGAGTGGGATTATCACAAAAAAAGTTTTTATGCTTTCGTTGAGGTGGAAATGTATCAATAAAAAACAAGTGGAAACAGACTGAGGGAACAAATGCTGACATATGCATGAAGCAGTGACTCAAGGTAAAGCGCTGAAAACATCAGGCGTGTGTGGAGCGATGAGGAGGCTGTAACGTCATCTCGTTGTTGCATGGAGACGAGCACACATTTGCATTTTGTCAATATTCTGAACATTTTTAATCCTTTACAGTAATTTTCAGTCGCTGATAATTGTTCATGTAGTGAATCTACTGACCCTTACGTGTTAAACTCAAAGGAATCTTTAAGCTCAACACAAATACTGACTATTTATACTTTGGTATTTATTCATTTTAACTGGTGAGATAGTGACATTTTAGCCACTTCACGCAGATCTTTATTAAATTATCTCAGGGCTTAGTTTTATAGGTGTACATGGTATAAACTGCATCTCGATGCTCTCCTTCAGGGGACAGGCGTTACAGTCACAACATTTACTGGAACTTTAATAATGATGCTTGAAACAAAGGAGGACGGATGAAGGTCGCAGTCTGGAAAATACATTTGCTTAATATGATTATATGACTGGGACTCCTCCTGAAGTCTCTTTAAGGCTAACACGAGGGGTAAACTAAACTGAAACGTATATTTTGGAATCTGAGCTCGGTGGGAAACAGTTTGAACAACTTTTTGTTGCGGGGAACACATTAAGGAGCACACCGAGGGAGTTTCTTCCCGGCTTCACTTCATGTTTACTGACCAGCACATTAATCCTCTCCCACCGTCAGCTCGCTTCCTCCTCCTCCTCCCGTTCACATTTCCTCCTCATCCTCTTCCCTTCCTCCACCTCTTTAATCCCAAATGATGGATGAAAATCAACCAACGCGCCCTCCTAGCGTCAGCCTCTACCAGGCCACGTTCTCCCACTTCTGTATAGATTCCTTTTATAACGGTTTTAACCCTTCACATCCTTCTTTTATTTATCCTCTTCACCCCTCCGTTCATTTTCCTCACACACACATTCGACTTCTCAGCCATGCGTGGAAGCTCGTCTGGCATCAGCGAGCAGAAAACATGCCAGCTAGACGAGTGTGTGTGTGATGTGAGTGTGTGTGCGTTCTGCAGCACATTAGAGAATGACTTCTGTAAAAGGGCACTCGCTCTATTACACCTGGTGTCTCTGCTGTATCAGCAAGTTCAGCTAACACACACACTCTGCTCTCTCTCACACCCAGTGAACTAATCCTGACAGAAAAAGAAAGCTTTACAGAGCTTGTCTTTTTTGTTTTTAAAGAACAAAAATGGGAATTTTTGTTTGTTTTGGAAAAAAAACAGGGATCAGACATCACCTTTTCAACAACTGGCTAATGCTGGCCGCACACTAGAGGATAACTGGGATAATTTTGAGTCAGATTCGCCGTCTCGACAATCAAAGGTGCGTTCCCGAGCCGAGGCTGGTCAGAATAGATTATTGGCCCAATTATTGTATATAATTTTCCTAAATATCAATATAATAAATGTTCAATATATCGTCAATAAATATTTGGTTTAATTCGTTTGAATCAAATTAGCACTTAATTTTAATATTAAAATATTAATTTTGATGAGAAAAAATGGGACTGAAAAAAGATCATAATAGTTTTGAATGTTCTCTCTCAGATTTGTTCAGTGATCCACTGTTTGGCATCATGTGTTCATTCTGACCATAATGAATAATTTAACCACATAATAAACCATCTGGTTTCTTCAATTTTCAGTCAGGAGCAAAAATCAGCCTTTAAACTCGAAAGAAATAATGATTTGACATATATCACGATAATTATCGATATTGCACGATATGAAATGTTTTTATCGTGATAACATTTTTGGCCAAATCGCCCAGCCCTAGTCTTAAGTCATGTTTGATCAAGTCCCCAGAACCGCCACTCTGACACCATTTAGTAACAGTTGCTCCTGAGAACGGACCGCACGGCCCTGACCCGAACCAGCGACCTCGGCTATGGGAGGCGGACAGGCTGACCATTT